GTTAAAACATTTTCATTTTTGGAGGTCATTTAGGTCATTAGAGGTCGTAAGAGGTCATTAGAAGGTCAAACACTGGATTTGATGCTGCTACTGGATTCCCTGGGTTCCCAGCTTTCGTTTGATATGCATTAAGCCATAGTTGAAATATTTTCTATTTGTGGAGGTCATTAGAGGTCATTTTAGTTCAATTTTAATTTATTATAGGAATTTCGAACCCTAGTTAGGCGTGCACCCAAAAAATTGGAAGATTTGAACCAAAAATGAAGGCAGGGCCCCCCCCCCCTACATCAAATGTGCCAACTCCACCATCCCCTTTTTGTAATTTCAAAATTTCAGAACGATTTACAATTTATTTTGAACAAGAAAATTTTTAATAGCAAAGTAATTATGCAACAAAAATTATGATGGTTTTTTCATCTCTTATAGAACAAATTCATGAATTTCTTTCGTTTCCACTATAACAATATACATTCGAGAAATAGGCTTGCAGAACCAATCATTAGTCTCTGCGTTCATTTCATGTAAATTGAGTGTCTGGGAAAATACATGAATTATTTTAGAGGTTTAGGAGGGATGGTGAATTTTTGGGAGCTCTTTTACTTTATTCTTCCAATTTAGTTGGATTAACGGTTTCTTCCAGAATTCTCTGCAAATCCTTCCTCCGATTACAGTTATATGAATATAATACCAGTGCTTTAAGATCCGCACGGGTAAAAATGGATCCGGATCCAGATCATGGACATTTCTTTACGATTTGCCGATTTTTTTATACTGAAGAAGAATTTTATTTAAATTGGATTACTTAAAATTAATTATTTTTAAGCTAAAACTTGATGAACTATTCTGGTTCTTTTTGATAATTCTTTTTTTTTCAACGTTTCACCTTTGGGGTTTGAGAGCAAAATATTTTTATTTGTTTGTCGATATTTTAACCCTTGTATCTGGATGTGTGGATCCTACGCACTGTATAATACTTTGGACTTTATTTTTGTAGACACTAATAATATTATCTTAACTTATATCTTGAGTATTTTGATATCATAATTTTTGAGCAAGTTTATTTGTTTTCCATTTGTTTGAGAGTAAAAATATATCTCTAGTTGTTCCAAAAGATTAAAAGTTAGATAGAAACATTAGCTATTTGTTTTTCTTTTATTTTCTTTTGATGTTTTTGATGGATTTCTTTCTTTTTAAAACTCTCGGATTTTTCTGCTTATTGGATTTTCAAGATGTATATATTTATTGTTTCCTCAAATGTTACAGAGAGGATTTCCGAATAAAAACTAATAGAATATTGTTAGATGGAATTGTTCTGCGATCTCCGCCCTCACCTCCCCCCGCCCCTTCAACCTATCCCAGACCTAGCAAACCAGAAAGTAAGTCAGCATGTACTTCTATTCTTAAAGGGTTATTTTGTGTACATTACTGAGTACTAACAACATTGAAGTACGTGTAGATGAGTTATTTTGTACAAAATCACTTCTTGATTCGCCATGCAAACATGCACTTTGGTTTAGATATTGATAAGCACAATTTCTTGTTAGATATTGAACTGTACACTGTACAGTACAACGAAGTACAGTTTTTAGATATTGGTATAGTACAACGAAGTACATTTTTTACATATTGAACTGTACAGTAAAACGAAGTACAGTTTTTAGATATTGAACTGTACAGTACAACAAAATAAAAAATTTTAGATATTGAACTGTCAGTACAACGAAGTACAGTTTTTAGATATTGAACTGTACAGTACAACAAAGTACAGTGTTTATGGTGATGGGCTGCTTAAATCTTATTTCTTCTTTCTCTATCATTAAAAATATTTGCCAAAAAAGTTGTGTATCAAAGTTTTTTATTTCTCTTGAAATCTTTTTTCATTAATTTTAACAGAAAGATGCTTATGAGAATAAATATATAATTTAGAAGATTGAATTATAAAAATGTACAGTAATATTTGTCTAAGAACTTCTGTATGCTGGATCTGTGCAAAAACTTTAATAAATTTAACATGGAGTGATATGCAAGGAGCGGGAAATTTTCTGCAAAGAAATCGACCTTGACATTCCGTTATTTTAAACATATCGTTTAATAAGCAAATTTTACGTACAAACTTGTGAAAGTATCTTTTAGACCTTAAATTTCAAAACTAATTTAGTGGCCTACAGCGTTGTGTAGCTAACTTCAGTGTTAAGTAAAATCTTGTAAACTCAACTGAAAATGAAAAATGGATTTTATTAAGCACTAAATGCACATTGCTCAAGCGCTGTTCAACCATGTTTTTCTATTCAATAAATCTTTTCAATTTTACCGGATTATTGGCAATATAAATATTTTTAAAACTTCCCTTTGAAGAATAGAATTCACACGAAATTTGAATATTTTCTATTATTGACTTAATTGTAAAATGGGGGGGAAGTAAATTTACATATTTGAAGAATTTTGTGTTGATAAAACGAAACTGCTGTGTGCCGTTAGAATTTTTCTTGAATTCGGGGTTCCTTCCATAACTTTCATATGTTTCAATTCTTTTATTGTCTAAAATGGCAGATCGCCCCCCCCCCATCTGGCTGCACTCCCTGCACCCTTCAGATAAATTCTCATTCATATTTCCTCTTTTCTATCCTTTTGTGCTCAAAAGTGATATTTAAATCAAATTCGACTGTAATACTCGTAAAATATATTTTACTAAAGGAACCACAGTCGAAAACTTGAAGAGACTGCAGACGTAATTTCAAGTGACCTTGTTGGAGTGTCATCGCCAATTCACAATGTTTCCCCTCGAACTTTTATCTTTTTTTCTCTATAAATAGTTGATAAGTTTCATTTTTGGTTTTCTATAAAAGTGATCTGTGCATTCACGCAGTAGGAGAAAAAGAAGGAAATTTATCAGAATTGGACACTACTTCAGCCTTTTAAAATGCTATCGTCTACATTTTTCCTGAGATAAACACTTAAAGGGAACCGTTCTCAATTTAACTAACCACTACTTAAAATTACCTCTACAGTCTCATTACATTGTTCATTGATTTACGGACAAAATTTATTTAAAAAATGAACTCAAACACCAGCAAAATACGCATTATAAACTCTTTTAATTAAAATGTTTATTAAATGTTAGAGCTTCTAATTAATTTCTTTAACAATGGCTGTAATGTCTTAATGAGAAAAAGCTAGTATCTCCTGTAAGCAATAAATCTTCAGATTTACCAGAAAATCTTTAGAGATTGAAAATCATTGTAAACTAATATAAAACGTTGGTCATCGGTTTTTGTAGTGACCGCACTCTCAACCTCTTTGTACTTGCTTCACATGAAACTTTAATATTTCAAATCTTTTACTCAGAACAAAATACACAGGGTGTCCCAACAAACATGGGTCACGACTTTTTTGCTTTTTCATAAACGTAGTTTTTGTAATGACCCAGTTGTGAAAATCACAAAGGATAAAAACTCGTGCCTTGGATATTTCAAAGTGTGTTCTGCAACTTGATACATTCACTAGATTTACTCGTGCCTTGGATATTTCAAAGTGTGGTCTGCAACTTGATACATTCACTAGAATTACTCGTGCCTTGGATATTTCAAAGTGTGGTCTGCAACTTTATACATTCACTAGATTTTCTCGTGCCTTGGATATTTCAAAGTGTGGTCTGCAACTTTATACATTCACTAGATTTAACTGTTAAGGATAAAATCAAAATCTGAAAAAAAAACAAATGCATATTTTTTTACTATTATTCCAATAGCTCTTTCCTATTAACAGCAAAGTTGATGCATTTAGCCTAAATTTGAGCATATTGTTGAACCAGTAAATGTTTAAGTAAATTGTATTTACTGCGCCCTGTTGTATTGTATTCAGTTGAAGCTAAATTTACTCCAATGTATTCTGTGCACAATTGAATTTAAAACTTGGTCTATTGTCTTGTTCCAAGGAAAGTGTTTCCACGTAGCGGATTTAGGATTAAGAATTTAATATAAATCTATCTTATCTCATCTTAGTCTACCATTTGTTCTACATTTTACCATTATTCTGTCTACCATTCATCCTACCTTCTACCTTATGTTATTTTTATCTACCATTCGTTCTACATTTTACCATTATTCTGTCTACTATTCATCCTACCTTCTACCTTATGTTATTTTTATCTACCATTCGTTCTACATTTTACCATTATTCTATCTACTATTCATCCTACCTTCTACCTTATCTCATCTTTATCTACCATTCGTTCTACATTTTACCATTATTCTGTCTACTATTGTTCAACATCCATCATTCAGTCTACTTTTCCTACTTTCTACCATCATTCTGCATTTGTCATGCACTCCACTAGAATTAATTCTACTCTCATTTCTGTCTACTTTCTGACTTCTATTATCATTCAGTCTACTATGCTGTTTCCTTTACGTCTACCATCATGCATTCAATCTATTAAACAGTGTTTGTTTTTGTCATCATTCCGTTTTTTCAACATTACTTCATTTTGTATTCAAATTGTCATTTTCTCACGGGTTTCTCTTATTCTCCTCCAAAAAAGATATATGCAGATCAGTTCTTGATATTATATACATCCAGGTCTCTGCTGTGTTCCAATGAGACCCATGGTAACGCCCTCCTTATCCCTCCCATCCCTCTCACCCACCATATTCCCCTCACCCCTCTCCTTTACCACCTCCCTCACCACTCAAACTCTCAAGCTTCAGCAGCTTATCTCTAGGAAAATGAAACCTGCTGTAAAGCATCAATGTATCTAGTGCAGTGTGCATGTATCTAGAATAATGCATTTTTTCAGTTTAGAAAACTGCAATAGGTATCTAGAGCATGCAAAATGGTCGTGGTTAGACTAAATATTTAATATCCGTTTGATTTATAATGGTTGGATAATAACATGAACTAAATATTCATATGAATCCATCAAAACTGTAGAGATTAAAATCCACCAGGGGGTCCCCATCTCATCCTTCTTAGATATATAATATATTCAAGCGTTTAACAGAGCTCCTATCTATATATCTATGGTAACTGGACACCCTCCTGAAGGAATGCATATATAAAGATATATTCTTCGGCCTGTGCAAAAACAGAGACAAGCCCGGAGCTGAAGAAAACAATTAGCATGCTAGATAACACTGCCAACCAGCCTTATTTCTCCTGTTTTCTCAACTTTCTAGATTCCTTGTTTTCAACATTTTTGAATGAAACGAGGAATGTTTTGTCCAGAATGGGTTGAGTAAAGAAAAACATTTATTTTGTTCATGTTATATTTCCAAATTGTATGAAGAATCAGAAAACTGTGTTGCAACTGTCCAATGGTGCACTGTATGCAGTTTACTCAAGATTTTTTGGGGGGTTGGAGTGAAAACAATTCAGGGGTGTATATTTTCCTAAAAAGTCATTCCCTCTCCTCTGTTTTGAAAATCATTCCCCCCCCCTGCCAGAAATAAGGCATTTTTGTAATTTGTTCAGGGTTTTCTTTTTAGTTGATTTGTGAAAAATAAATGCTTTTTAGGAAAAACAAATACATTTTGTAATTCTTAAAAATATACACCCCTGTCAATTGTGAAGCAGAACAAGGAATTGCACATAATAGGTTAGGATTAATGTCCATCATCATACCAAGTTTGAATCTGTAAAAGAGGGTTTCATTCAAGATCTGGAATGAATTACAAGTACAGGAGAAGATTAAAAAGTCTGGACGATATCACCAAATCAGATTCGGATAATTATTTTAGGTGTCCTTTCAATATTTATGGAGTTTATAAAATACTGTGAAGAAAATATTGCATGAAAGTTTCGATCTAAATCTTTGGAATGCAGAGTAAAGCTTAACATTTCTCTTGGTTTTTATCTGGATCAATCCAACTGCATTAGTGAGTGCATCCACTTCAACCCATGGATTATCTCCGGGGTTACAAACGAACATACCAACCTTAAAACCGCCTATGCACCCATCACAACAAAGTAAATTCTTAAAGGGACTGTATTGTAACTAAAAGTGAGCCTCTGTGCAAAGATGACAATACCCGATCCACACTCCTTAAAAGTTCTGTCTGATCTCGTGTGAAATAGATATCAATATTTATTCATTTTGAAAACTGATTTTTTTTTTTATTGTGGAGTCTCTCCAACAATATCTTCCCCATTATTAACCAGATAAAGGGTTTAAGGATACCTTTTTGAATCGGGCGTTGGCATCTTTGAACGCAGGGTAAATTGAAATTATGCTCACAGTCCCTTTAAGCTTCTCAATTCGCATGAAAATATTGAAAATGAAGGGAAAGAAGAAAAACAATAATTGCTAGTCTGGAGGCTGTGGATTGTGCCTGTTCTCGATTTTCGGGATCTTTTGATACCAACTCTAGGTTTACAAACTGGGTTGAATAATTAATTCATTAACATAAAATTTACCGCTTTGATGTACATACAGTTCAGTATGGAGCTGTATAACTTTGCTGTATAATTATCCTGTTTGCATTTCTATAATTCAGTCAAACATCATGTACCTGTCAAAAGTTCGGGTCTTTCAAATCAAATCCAACCCGACTTCAATCTACCAAAGAAGATGATAACAATGGTCCAGGATTTGAGTGTTTGCCAACTGAATTTGTTCACAATACTAAACCTACAATTAGATTTTCGGGGGCTAATGGAGTTGTCAATCTTGGTGGAAATCCTCTCCCTCAATCCTTGAATAATACTGGATTCATGAGAAGAAACCTGTACTCCCGGAGCACGGAACAGCTGTCAACTTTGAACACCTATAACAGCCCTAAACTGAACACTCTGAATAGAGATTTATCATCGCCCTGCGTTCACAGAGGAAAGTTCATTTCCACAACATTTTTTTCTTAAAGGGAGTGTAAGTGAAATTTAGGTGACCCTCCTTGCAAAGATGACAATAACCAATTTACAAGATACCCTTGAAACCTTTATCTGATCAATAATGTGGAAGATAAAGTCGTTTCTCGTGGTTTGAACGTTTTTATTCCACCGTTTTTCTGCAAAATGTGCAAGTCACTTTTTTTAAATAAACCCCAATTGAAACTAAACAGTTCTCAACATTATTTAAATTCAAAGGGCACCATTGTAAATTGGACATAGAATCTTTGCATGGAGGTTCACTTGAAATTACGCGTACAGTCCCTTTAATTAAATAAATCAAGCTTTACCTAAAATCTTATTGATTGAAAAAATTGAACATATTACCAATAGTTTGTCAAACGTTACCTCGAAGATTTCCTTCATCTATGTACAAAACAGTTAAGTTTGCTGGTCTTCCCTCAACCCCCAGCTGTCAACTGTCAACACAGAAACTCTCCGAGAGCAGAAACAGAAATGTAGAAAGCAGAAAACTTGCACAGCACAGCCTTGATTTCCCCAGTAGGACTTAAGATTTGTCAGAAAAATGTCAAAGAAAACTTATAGAGAAGATGAAATGGTTGCATTTATTTAAACTGTTGAAAATTTTATATTTTCCCAATTTTGAAAAACTATTAGGATTGAAAATATGAAAGCAATCAAAAGGAATTTATTCCATTTATTCTTGAAACATTTTTGATTTTGTGAGGACAAGGTTGATTAATTTGGAATAATATTTTCAAATTTACTATTTCTCAAATAGGGTCTGTAATAGTAAATTTCTTTTGACCCTCCAAGCAAAGATGGCAATGTCCGATATACAATGGTAACCTTAAAAGCTTTGTCTGATCAAGTATGAATTAGACCTAAATGTCATTGTTTCTTTAAAATGTTTACTTTCATTTACGGTTTCCTGTAAAAGTGACCTGTGCATTTCTTGCGAAGGAGGAAATCAAGGGTATTGTTGTGAATCGGGAATTGAAATTTTTGCATGGAAGGTCACTTGAAATTACGCTCACTGTCCCTTTAAGCTGACAAATCATATAAAGCTTTGACATTAGGCAATGAAATACTGCAATCCAAGTATGACCCAAGAACTAAGGAAATTATCAATGAATTAAATCTTATCTAAATTATGTTTTTTTCCTTTAATATTTAATCTAAAAATCTTATTTATTTATGAATTAAGATTGATATTATTTCAAAGAACTGGGTTATAAACCTACAATATAATTCATCAGTCCCTAAAACTGTTTCACACCCCCCTACTCAAAACCCTGTTAACTATTCACAAACATCTACTTCACATCATCAATACTCGTCTATACATCCACATTACTCAACCCCAAACCTTCAATACCAATCACATAACAACCTTCTTTATCCCGTTCCAATTCAGCCTTTATCCAAACCTAATACATTGGATCTGCCCCCTCCTCTCACTCCTAGTGTTATCACTGAAGAAGATGATAATCAGTGCTCACTCTGTTCTCATTGTTCATGTTCAGGTTATGCTTGAATCTGCATGATTTCTCCGTCCCCCATTTCTGTTTTTCTGTTTTTTGTTTATTTTGATTCATTTTTGCTATTGTGCGTAGTATCAGATCTGTAATGAAATTAAATCTAGGCGATATCTATAATTAATCTAGCTCCCCTTTTTATAAAAATACACCAGGGAAGTATATTTTTTAGAATCCCTTACCCTGGGGAATAAGAGATGGTAATTTTTTTTTTTTTTGGGGGGGGGGGGAATTGGACATAAAAAGGCAACTTTTTTCCTTTTTTCATTCTTTATAATACTTTTAATCAACAAATTCATTTATTTTCTCCAATTCATGAATAATTCATATAAGAAAATAAAAAGCATATTTTACTTTTGGGGAAAATGATTTCCGAAAGAGGGGGAAGTAAAATGATTTTTTGAGAAAATTAACACCCCTAAAATAAATGTCAAGTTTCCAAAACAAATCTCAATTTAATTTTGAGTAAAAACTTTAATTTTTCCCATATTTACCCCTTTTGGAATGGCAATACAATTTACAATAGAATTTACAATAGAATTTACAATAGAATTTACAATAGAATTTACAATAGAATTTACAATAGAATTTACAATATAATTTACAATACAATTTACAATACAATTTACAATAGAATTTACCAGAATTGTCTTAATATTTGAAAACAATGCTTGGATATAGTGTGTATATATAGAGGATAGTAAAGATTGAACAGTATTCAACATTTTTACCAATTTGTATGCAAATATTATACTAGAGCCATAGGACCTTGTTTAACTAGTGTTTTCAGCAGGCCTGGGCTCTTTATGCATAGGTTTAGAGAGAGAGAGAGAGAAAAGGGTTTGAAAACTGGTCAAGGTCCACAAATTAAAAGCGAGAAAGTAGGAAAGGTGAAAAACAATTTATAAAAATAAAATGTTGGTTAACCTGCTATCGTTTTAATTACAGTAATTACAGCTTCATTACCCTTTAAACTTTTATCGAATCAAAAATGCGAAAGATGTCAGTTTCTTGCTCGAAAATTGTTTAATTCTCATTTGGGTTTGTAGCAAGAATTCGTAAGTCACTTACAGGAAAGCCTCAATTGAAAGTAATCAATTTTCAGAGAGAAAAAGATGAATATTTCATTCTTTCTTATTCAGACTACGTTTTTATGTGTACCATTGTGAATCAAAGATGCCACACTTAAAATCGGAGGTTCCTTCAAATCTTTTTTTGTCCTGCAATCTAAATTGAAGTTGAAAAAAAAAAATGTTTAATCCAGAATCCTGAACAGTGACTTAATTTGGCGGATTAACGATCTGCGCTTCTGCAAGATAAACAAAACAGTAATGTTAGTTGTTAAAGTATAGAAACCTAGTTTTACTGCTCTTTAAATTAATGGCTGCAGTAGGATTAACTCAACCTCACAGTTCTTAAACTCCTGGCAGGAAATCTGTTATGTCTGCATGTTCTTTCACGCCTCATCTTGATAACATGTTCTTAACTATGCATGCTCCAAACTTCGTGCATTTACTGGTTTTCATGCATGCCGTTTTCCACAAAATAATCTTCTTGGTTCTGTTATTTTCAGTGCATACTATTAGCCCAATGCATGCCATCAATGTACACTGTTTTTAACAATTCATTTTTCATTTGACTGCATTTATGTCTTTGATTGCATAATGCATATGCTGTTTAAAAATCTACTAACTGTTAATAGTATTTTTTTTTACCTAATTATCCTATTATTCTGGATCCGTAGCAGTTTTTCTTTTATTGTATTTGATTAAGTAATCTATAGTCCCGGTTTCTACTCAAATCAAGAACTTAATATTTTCCAATTATCATTTATATTCTAACTAAATTTTTTTTTTCAGAAAAGTTACAGTAAGCATAAAATTCAGACCACGGTTTTAAAACATTTTAATTGTAAACAAGAGTATCAGTTTTTTTGGCCTAAGGTTGTTGAACAAAAATGTTGTCATTTTATTTGTTCTCCTTCAGGATTTTAGAGAATGTATTAAAAATATTTTTTTTAATTAGTAATTATTATTTTAGATGATCGGCCTTTCTTTACCCGGGACCCTGGTCTTCTCAGAGGAGAGCGGCTGCAGGTAAAATTTATAATTTTATTGACAAAAAAGTCATAAATTATTAAAATACATAAATCATTTTAATTTACAGATTTTGTTATAATTTTTGTTCTAAAAAGTTTTATTTTGGATCGTTAAAATAAAATAAAATTTTTATCCTATTTTGTTAGTAATGTTTGCCATCTTCAGAAATTGAATTATGAAATATTGCATCTGTTATTATAAATTCTTGGACTTGATTTATGGTCTTCTCAATTTTTGGATATTTCAGGCGAAACTAGTCAAATCAACACGTGGTCTCGGCTTCACAATCGTCGGCGGCGACGATTCTGAAGAAGAGTTTCTGCAGATAAAGTCCGTCGTCCCGAACGGTCCTGCATGGCTGGACGGACGATTAAAGACAGGTAAAAAAATTTTATTTATATTTTTTATATTTCTAACAAGAGGGTAAATTAATACTTCATTATTTCTTATATTCCTTAAAGGGTCTGTCTCGGAATCTTAAATGACCTTAAATTTAGAGAGGGACATGCTCAATTCACATACAGCTAGTCATAGAAAGTTTAGTCGAAAGTTTAGTCTACTTTCTCTTTAAACAGTTACAAGACAACCTTCATTATTCTTGGATTTATAGTTCATATTTAAATAATAATATGTAATAGTAAACAGAAAGTCTTAAAACGTCAAGTTTTACAAATTGTGAGGGTACACAAAACATTATTCTAAGCAATATTAAAAGAAGAAAATTGTATTAAAGGATTGGGCAACAATTGTTATTTAATTGATGACAATAAATACTAACAATTCAGGCGTAAAAAAAGCAAGAATATTTAGATAAATCATGTCAACTTTTCTACAGCTCTTCAAAAATTCATATATTTCTCCAACATTTTTTAAAAAAATTATTAACAACAAAACTAAAAAATGTTCTTGCGTTCTTAGGTGAAAAAAGTTATTAAAATATATATTAGCAACTAAATAAAATTATATTTGTGGAGGGGATGTATTGGTGTTCGTGAACGGGCAGTGTGTACTGGGGTTCACCCACCACGACATGGTCTCCATGTTCCAGAACATCAACCCTAGCGAGGTGGTGAAGCTGGACGTGTGCCGGGGCTACCCTCTACCCTTTGACCCGGATGACCCAAACACGGAGATTGTAACGACGGTGGCGGTCAACTCACCCGACCAAGGGGATTGGAACCATCTGGACAAACAAAGGAACAAGATTTGACAATTCAGAAGTTTTAACTGTCTCCCAGTCCTAATTTTTTAAAATCTTTACACTGAAGCCCCCTCGTAGATTTATAATTATGGTAATTTAACTTCGATTAAGCTTTGTATGGCCTCCTTGTCCAATCGCATTTCATTAATTTAAATTATGAAATAATTTTTTTTTGTGAATTGATCAACTTTGCCTATAGAACTGAACACGATGGAACAGCATCAATGCCAGATATGTGGAGATCACAGAGCGGTTTAGAAGAGAGAATGCGTCCCGGAAGTGCTGATTTACTCCTTGAACCCTCTATGAACGGATTAGATATATCTGGGGGCGCGGATGACCCTAGATTCGGAAACCAGGATCACGTGACTATACCAATAGTGAAAGGGGGGATGGGATTTGGATTTACAATTGCAGATAGCGTTTTCGGACAAAAAGTTAAAAAGATTTTGGACCGACCTAGGTGTAAAAATTTAAATGAAGGTGATATATTAGTTGAAATAAATAATATAAACGTACAGAATATGAACCATACGAACGTGGTTCAGGTTCTTAAAGACTGTCCGCGAGGCCAAGAGGCCGCCATAACAATACAAAGAGGTAATTCTCTCAACCTCACCAAGAATAAGTTCAAAAAGAAGGAAGAGAACGGCGGAATGAGACCGAAATCAGGGTTTCTCTTCCGCTCTAAAACTCCGACGGCGGAGCTATTTGCCACACAGGAGAAGGAGATAGTTCCCATGCGTCCCAAAACTCCCATTGTTGATACTCGTAATATGGCGCAGAAAAATTGGAACGGAGAACTTAACCAGAACTTGTCCCCGTTCTCAAGAAACGATTTTTCTCGCGCTTCCCTCGGTGTCGGAGGTAGAACGGAGCAACATGGATCCTTCGACATGCTCTCGGAGCAGTTGAGTATGGTTGGATTAAAGGGACACCCTGCTCCGAGATCCCACTCCCCCGGGAGGGAGCTAGATCAACCCCAATATCAGTACAATTACAACTACCAACATCAGAACGGGTTTCTACCGAACGGATATGACTCTGGGTACGGTTACTCTGGATACAACGGAGACTATCCGGCAGCTCCGCAGGTACAGGGATATAGTCCGAACGGGAACGGATATAGAGCCGGATCCTTACCACGAGGAAGGAAAGATTCATCTAGTTTTGAACAGTCTGATCAATTATCCAATAACATGCGTTGGAGTGGGAGAAGGGACGGAGAATTAGAGATGGTTGTGGTTCTTCTCCGACACGACTCCGGGTTCGGGTTTAGGATTGTTGGAGGAACTGAGGAGGGGTCTCAGGTAAATATAATAATACATCTTTGAACATAAGTTTTAGTTTTTTTATGCTAAACTTAATCGAAAGAGATGTGCTGATAAAATTACCGTTTTAGAAGATTTACCTCCATCTTAAATGTTTCCTTAATTTTTTTCTTTAGAATTAGAATCAGTATTTTGGTCGTGTGTTTAACTTAAAGGGTTGTAAATTGTAAAGCTACTTTTGTTCCTCTGCCTTTTTTTTTCATTATTTGTTTCAGTAAGCTTTAAAAATCTACACTTGGAATTTTAAACTTACGATTGATGGTTTTTATACGGTGGTAAGCGATAATACCAATATAATGAAGACGACTTTTTAATTTTAAGCTTTCATTGTAAACAAGCTTTTTTTCGAATGACAAGTTTACAAGTAATTAAAGAGAAGTTTTTTTACTTGACAGCTGGTCTTATTTTATATTTTTTTGTATCCTTGCTGTTCACGGCTTGATATAAATTAAAATTTTAATCGAAAGTCGTCTTCATTATATTTATATAATCGCTTACCACCGTATTAATACAGAAATACTAATACAAATAATTAAAGTTTTTTTGTGTTTTTTTTATGTGACTGTTAAGAAATGTTGGAGCAGAATTTGGTTCAACCTTTATCTTGGGTTGAAATTTCTAACCCAATCTAATTTAGAATGTTGTACAGGTCTCCATCGGTCATATTGTTTCCGGCGGCGCAGCCCACATGGACGGCCGGCTCTTCTCAGGGGACGAGATCGTCGCTGTTGATGGTCACTCTGTGCTGGGAGCATCCCATCATGTTGTAGTGGAGATGATGGGTAGTGCGGCGCAGAGGGGTCAGGTTCAGCTTACTATCAGACGAAGACAAGGTCAGTTTTCCTTTATGCAAGTTTTTTGCAAAACGGCCAGATAAATATTTTCGTTTTTTCACATCTGATTTTATGAACTTTCTTGGAATAAGAGATCTTGCTGAGATAAAAATTCACAATTTTGACAAAAAGGAAACTAAAAAATTGGCAATGTGTTAGCTTAGATAGAAAAAGTCGGACAATAAATGATCTTAAAAGGCTAATATTGCTCTTAAACAAACATTTAAATTAAAACTTGTTTGTTATGCCTTAAACAAGAACACATTTTTATATCAAAAAGTTGAAATTTCTAAAGGGCCTTCAATAGACCTTCCAAATAAATAGTTACATGCCAGAATCACAACAGTACCCGTAAAACCTCATTCAAAATAGCAATGAGCAAGAAATTGCACAAAAAATCCGGATGTCTCAAAAAGAGAGAGATCAGAATTGGAAATAATTCGATATTCTGACAATATTTGCTGTGGCGAAGGTTTAAAGGGTATCCTTGTTTATCAGACATCCCCCTCTTTCTTTTAAATGAAAGGTCGCTAGAAATTACAACGATAGGAGGCTCTTTTAAACAGTATTTTTCTTTATATGTTATTATTTTAGAAGGTTACCGAGAGGGTTACCCCTACGACGTAACTGTATCCCGCCTAGAAAACGAAGGGTTTGGATTTGTCATTATCTCTAGTGTATCCAGGGCTGGTTCTACCATAGGCAGGATTATTCCAGGTGAAGAAATGAAAAAAGCTTGTGCTGGGGGAGAGCGATTTTAAATCATATTTCTACTAACATCTTTATTATTTCCCTACCAGTCCCCTACACTTCTATGTTCTTATGGATTCTAACTAATTCTTTCAAAGTATCCCATATGCCTACACCATCTCCATCACCTTCTATCTTTAGATGTACTTCTATCTAAGTGTACTCTTATCTTAAGATGTACTAAAATCTTAATTGTTGTACTCCAATCTTAAGATGTACTCCTATCTTAAAATGTACTGCTATCTTAAATTGTATTCCAATCTTAAATGTACTCCAAGTATTCCCATCTGAAGTGTACTCCCACTCCACTAACCCTCTTAATTACTATAGGTTCTCCAGCTGAGAGATGTGGTCGGCTCCAGGTTGGAGACAGAATACTAGCGGTCAACCATGTTGATATTAACACTCTTCACCATGAGAAGATTATTAATATTATCAAGGAGAGTGGATATAGTGTAACACTGACAGTGGGTCCTCCTTTAGGTAAATATTGATTATTATGAAATTAATTAAAAAGTAATTTCACAAACTCTGATTTTCTTATCCGTATACCTTTGCAAGCCAATGACATAGACCTTAGATATTTGATACTATAAAATATGTAAGATAATTTTATATAGAAAATTTGAGTTTGTAGCACTAAAAGTAAACTTTATTTATCATATTTGAACTCAGAATCGTTTCAATTCCCTTTTCCCTTAAGATTGATAGTTTTTTGGATTTTAAAGGAAGCGTTGTTTTTGTTTTACGCGAACACTCCCTTTAAGTCTCATAATATAATATTGGAATTTAAAAGTTGTGTGTTTAATAACTTTCCCAAATCTGTGCTGATCATATTAATTAAGCTTCAGATCCAATTAATGCATCTATGACATGATTTCAATAATTGCTGTTGAATGTTCACTTGCCTCTGAGATATCTTAGAATGATAGAGGGCTTGATTAAAGTCAGTGCTTCGGAAATTATTTATCCTTTATTAACATTGGAAATCAGATTTTTTCGCGGAATTATATCTTCAATTTATTCTTTATGTTTCAGATGATACATCTAGCACTGCTTCTACTTCTCATAGGGTAAGATTAAGCCTGCATGTATTCACTAATCTTCTAGTTCTGTCCTTTCCTACATTTTTATATTTCAGTTTTTGTTTTTATTCATAATAAGATGAATTATATCCCCAGTTATTCATAGCGTTGTATTTTATTTTCTTACAGAGGGAAATATTATCTTACAGAAGATGTACATTTTCTATCAGATAGAATTATTTTCTTACAGATAGAAATATTTTCTCACAGATAGAACTATTTTCTCACAGATAGAAATATTTTCTCACAGATAGAATTGTTTTTCACAGATAGAATTATTTTCTCACAGATAGAAATATTTTCTCACATATAGAACTATTTTCTCACAGATAGAAATATTTTCTCACAGATAGAATTATTTTCTCACAGATAGAAATATTTTCTCTCAGATAATTATATTATTTCACAGATAGATACATTTTCTCACATAGATATATTTCCTTACAAATAGAAATATTTACTCACAGACGAATATATTTACTCACAGATGAATATATCTATACAAATTTCTATGTTTTGTGAATATATTTATATTCCGAAGACGTTCCCCACACTTGGCACACATTATGCACAGTTGGGTGGGAGTACGGTGTACAAAGTACATAAAAACACAAATACATTTTCACCCTTCTGATACACTTAAAACATGTCAGGTCGCACCAACCAAACTTTCTTGGTTTCATATGTACAAATAATCGGTACATGGGTCACATTTTTTACATGGAATAGGAAATACAACAATACAGAAATTTGGGACACGGGATAGAATGTCTTCCCCCCCTCTCCCGGTTTCCCCGAAAACTGAAACACTCGACTCGACCAAAAAAAACCATGGTGAAGCGTTATATTAGATTGAGGGCTAGCAGAGGGATTTAATTAAATTGAAAATGCTGGAGAATCGGGATCCTGGGATTGAATTTAAGAACCAAAAAATTGGGGGCCTGTGATTAGGAGGTTACTGAAACTATTTGAAGTTATTTAAGAAAAGTGGATAAAGTTAGAATAAGATCTCATTAATCAAGAATAGGTTGGAATACTAGATTCTTCTCTTTTACTGTTCTTCCTCATTCACGCTAGAGGAAACGGAACTAAGGGTTATCTGACATACGGATTTTTCGACCCAGAAATGTAGCTGGCCCTAGTTGTAAAGTGAAATAAGAAATTAGGACGATATAGACGACGAGTAGGCCCAGACGAGTAGTTAAAAAGAGAAGGCCCAATTGTTCGGGGTTCGAGTTGTAACGGTTGCTGATGTATTTGTTGTTGTTTAAACTTCTCCATTCTGTCCCTTTTCTTTTTTTGCTTAAAATATTTAAAGAATTTATGAATGTATTGAACCCTGTAGTAACAAACGTTTTAGAGTTCAACGGGCTCTATGGTGACGGGTTGGGCTCGACCCGTTCTTCCTCCCGCCGATTCCCTTACATCATCCCTCGCATCTTTACCCCATAATAGGTATACACAATATCCGCCATTTTGTTTTTCTTCTTATTTTATTATTTTATTTTTCTTTAAACAATCTTGAAGATGTCTTGCTAATGGTTGATTCCCTCAGATCTGGCGACACGAGGGAGGGTTCTGGTCCTCCAGGGGAACCTTTTAAGATTCTGATTTTCCCGGTTCAATTTAACTATCTCTGTATACAGTGGAGCAGATTATCATAAACTTTATACCAGCATGCTATTGCTCAAATATATAATAATAATATTTAATAAAATATTGTTCAGCATGTTTGTTCTTAATTCATCTTTTAGCATGCTGCACTCTGCATGCTGAAATCCTAGATATATTGGCATGCTGTAAAATTTGCCAGTGATCATTATTAATGTTGCATGACGTAATCTGCATGTTATGACATCAAACGTATTCAGCATGCTATAACATTGAACATGATTCAGCATTCCTTTACAGAATTATAAAAGCACGTGTTAATGTACTTCAGAACTACAGGTTTATCCACAAAGGATGAGACTGTAAAGACGACCCAAAACTTTAGGAATATGGCGATTTGAACCTTGGTTTTTGGTTTCTGTATTCAATGAGGGAGGGAGTCCAGAGTTCCTCAAATAGTAATCACCGCCACCCAAATCTGTTTTTCGGCAAGCGCGCTCCTAAATTGGTAATCTCCACCACCTCAATTAGTAATCACCGTAAAATTTTGGTTTCTGTGATTTGAATTTAATGCACTTTTAACACAATTTTCGACATCTATTGGGGTTTTATGGTATCTGTATTGACTTAAACTAAATTTTCAAATTATTTTCAGATTTGTTTGGTCAACAAAAACTGAGAATCAAGGCACAGTTTATTTTAGCCGAATCTTAAATCCAATTCGCCACTTTGATGACTGCATTTCATGATTGGCGTCAAGATACAAAAAAGGTCGGGTTGCCTGTTTACTAAAAAATTTCTCATCGCGCATCAATCTCCATTTAAAAGATACTTTCAAAAAACCTTTTCAGTGTTAAGATTTTTGTATTGCAACTCGAGTTCAACATCTACAACAAAACTAATTAATTATATGCATAGAAAGGACGTACTTAAAATTTACTAAAAATTATCTCATCGCGCCCAAAGTAATATCAATCTCCATTTAAAAGATATTTTCAAAAAACCTTTACAGTGTTTAGATTTTTGTATTCGCCTATTCGAGTTCAACATCTACAACAAAACTAATTATATGCATAGAAAGAACATAAAATTTTGAAAAATTAGTCTCATCACACCAACTACTTAAAATGAGGTATTTAGTCCACTAATAATGGGTTAAAGTTTCCTCTCTATATAAGGAGTTTAAAACAACATTCAGAGGAAAATGCCGCAAACATTCTTAAAGCGAAACTTGAAACTAAAAAACGTAATATATTTCTAGCACTTAGTGTGGCATATTTATTGATTTATTTTCGAAACTAAGGAGCAATAAAGAAAGCTTTAACAATATTGTACACCATAGGGCCATTAAAAGAGGTCAATATGGTCTTATTTCTAAGAAATAAACGATTTAATTTTATGCTTTTTTGGGCTGATTACTATTTGAGGTGGTGGAGATTACCAATTGAGGAGCGCGCTTGCCGCAAAACAGATTTGGGTGGCGGTGATTACTATTTGAGGAACTCTGGACTCCCTCCCTCATTCAATTGAGTACTCTGGTTGTTTACTGAAATATTAATCACAGATATATGCCAGTTTTGGACTACAAGGAACCCTGAATACAAGAAAACAGATGTAACAAATTCCGTACAATCTTCTCTCATCCTTTGCGGGTAACCCTGTATTCTCATGGATTCCTCCGTACAAACCCATAGTATAATAATTTAACATATAGAGTACATTGTAGTGTTTTAATTACTGTACTTTAATTCATAACTTTTTTAATATTATGACATGGCATTACATCTTACACAGTTTCAGCATACCGTAGGAAACTATTTACTAAGCATGCTGCACCTTAGTTAATTATAATGCATCCTGTATGCATACCTAAAGCGCTTAAATATAAAGTATAGGGTTTGTGTACATTTTCTGTGACTAATTGTACTGCTAGCTCAAGCACTGGTATAAGTCAGATAAACAGCAGGAAAATTTGTTTAAACCTTAGCGTTTTTTAATAAAAGTAGTTATTAGCAGTCAGAGTCAAATTGCACACAATCCATATATTCTTACTTCCTTTAGTATAAATACCTTGGCTTGCTGTGCGAAGGATCAATAACATATTCCTATTTAGCTTGTTATGGAAAAAAGATAAAAGATTGATTTTAACATTTTTTAAAATTGTTTTGCTGTTTCCACTTCATTTTGTACTTGATGAAGCTGGTAGGGAAAAGTTTTCAAAATAAGATCAAACGTTAAAGAATGCATGTGAAGTCAGATTAAAAAACTTAACCTATTCCAAGATGAAAAGAAAGGCCGACTGGGGTTTTATTTAGGACATTGAGTAAATATTTGAAGTTGTGTCTAAACTTTGCAATTTCAAACTTAATTTTAACTTTTAGAACTTGACAAATATCATTGAGGCATCAGATGAAAATCTAATTTTCTTTTTTTTAGTTCTAGAAAATTTTAATATTTTATTTTACTTTGATGCGTGCATGACATAAATGGGACAGCTCACGAATTTCTAAATGGCAATTCTGTAATAGACTAATGAACTATTCACAACAATGCCCTTTAAATTTAGTTTTAAGATTCAGTTGTATTTTTCCCCTCATTTTTGTACTAACTTTCTTAAAAGGATACTGTTGCAAATCGTTCATGACATGTGCTGATTATAAAGTCTATTTAAATTCGTTTTGATTTTTTAAGATTAACCCTTGATGTTCAGGAGGACCAGGAGGTAGGTGCCCACCTGGGGGACGAGGATCAGTATTTTGCTGTAGAGCTGGGACGCGGAAACCGTGGGTTCGGGTTTAGTATCCGGGGGGGTCGTGAGTTCCATAGTATGCCGCTATTCGTTCTTAGGATGGCAGTAGATGGTGAGTGACTTATTAAGGGTTGATACAGGGTTACCCACAAAGGATTAGACTTGATGACAGTACACAGTCCCTTCAACTTTTTTCTTTATTTGCCAAATCATTAAGTTAGCCATTAAAAAGCTATGTTCAAGACACGACAACTTAATTTAACCTTGGGATTGTCATAATTCAGAAGTTTACGGTCGTCTTTACAGTTTCATCCTTTGTGGGTAACTCTGTATGTTTCAGTTTGTTATGTACAGGAACTCTCAAAACTCATCGCAAGTGAATATAGGGTTTACACGTTTTATGTTGCATAGAATACTAAAAGTTCCAAAACCAGAAAACTCTGGAAAAGGAACTTGAAGGCGACTTACAGACTAAAGGTATTACTTTAAATAGTCCAATGAACAGAAAACATAAATTGTTTCTAAAAGATAAGCAATTTAACAAGTTACTAGTAACACTAATTGCTTTGTAACAAGATAATATACTCAAAAACACTTCTATAATGTTGTCTTCCTATTCCACAGTTTTCTGGTTCTCACTGTAAGAGATTATTTTTTGGTCCACAAGTTATAGAAATTACATGAATTGGATGTTATCTAAGTAACTTAAAAAAATTATGTCTCAGGCCCAGCTACCGCTGACGGTCGATTGAGAGTTGGTGATCAACTAATCGAAATTAATGGACAATCAACGAGAAACATGACACATGGAGAGGCGATAGAAACAATTAAAAACGGCGGGACGGCGGTTAGACTTCTTGTGAAGCGTGGTAAAGCTCCCCCTCCTGCAATTTTAGGTTAGATTAGATATATTTATTCAAGATTTTATTATGCGGCTAATAGCCCTTTCTACATTTCTATATTTCCTACGGAACCATTTACATAATTTTATTTTCAGACCAAACCAGTTTGTCGCCTACCTCGCCAACCCCCCTTCCTCATACCCGGCCCGTCTCCTCCTTGTCCCAACCCACCAACGGGAACGGTATACCGCCGAACCACGAGGGACAAGGAAACGGTAACGGCCCTGTGTCACATAGTTCTCCACGGTATCCTCCCCATACATACTTCCAGCAGCCCTACTGGGGCTACCATCAACAAAGTGTAGAATAGACCCCCTGTACCCTCCCCCCCCCCATTCTCCAAGGAATGTCCCTCAGAAGAATCCAATGCCCGTAAACTGTCACAAAACCTGATTAGCCTCTCTCTATGACAGTGATCCACTCTCAACAGTATTATGTTCACTGTACAGAAACGGTTATTGTACGCCACGCTGTACGGTTGTGATAGTGAAATGTTCGCTGAGGTGTAAAAGGGGGCCTTTAAAGTGCCTTATTCTTATTTAGTACATATGTACTTCAAATTACCACACATGTACATTGCTACTCCGGTACATAGTACTTGAGAAGATACTCCTAAACCACTCAATAATATTGAAGAGGAGTACAAACATGATTTTTATGTCTGAAAAATGTATTTTGTTACTGCTATATTTCTAACTGAAATACTCCTCTAAATAATACATGTTAAAAAGTTTAAATTATTTTTGTGTTTATTTATATATTGATCTTCCAAGATACTGTTGAAATATATAATTACAAATATATTTGTTATTTCAAATTTGACCAGAGAATATATTAACAACTTCATCTTTTTAAACAAAAATATACTCTTTAATGAGAATGAAAAATCTCGGTCAATTTGGCCAAAAAAATTTCAGTAAATTACTTTTTTATTTGCTCTCCAACTGAGTGTACACTGGGATGAAAACGGACAATTTGTACATAAAAATTAGATGTTGAGTGATCACCCTCAATAAAAACTTGGTTAGGAAAGAGGAGGAAATTTACCAAAAAAAATGTTGAATTTAAGAAAAAAAACCAATTCCACACGGTGTTTAGTTAATATTTTGGATATTTTTCTGAAAACCAAAACATAAAATTTCCAATTTTTTAGAAATCCTAGTGCACCAAGAAAGGCTGCTCAAGAGGGATAAACCTATGGAGTGTGGAATAAAAAGGAGAATTAACCGACTCGGCCCGCCCTACCATACGATTATACATGCTTTGCAGACTGTACGAACAGTACTCCATTTGAATAAAAAATATTTGCCATATGTACAAATACCGCGTTCTGTACAATTACATGTATACAGAATAGGCTATTGTATTCACTAAACAGGGGAAAAATAGGCCTTATTTGGGATTAAAAAATATTGGCAATACAAACGTTTAATGTAAAAAATCAGTTTTATTTAAATATGGTTAGCAAATATCCACATTTAAAGGGACTGTAAAGTAAAAAGGAAAGGGGGTAACGGCTAAAACCTAACAATTTTAGGAGTTGAGCGAGACCTTAAACGTGATATTCACGTATCAATTACATGTATTAAAAATAAAAAAGATATTAAATTCAAATTATAAAAGGAGCAAACCGGAGTTTTTCAGGTTCCTCTTGGATATCTTCGTTTTCAGATTGGTTGCGCATATGCTGAATATATCTGTTTAAATCTTAGAATCCTATACCAAATCTCACACATTTGAGTTTTATATCAATTTCTCGAGACAAGAACATCAGATAGAACTCTTATAGGTCTCTATCATCTCCTAAAATGCTCAGGTTTCAGCAATACCCCTTTTCATTTATCCTCTTCAGTCCCTTTAGGAAATTTAAAGATGACCTTTTAATAACTCTTTCAAATGGAGTACCGTCTGTATAGATCATGGTAGGGCGGGCCGTGTCGCTTACTTCTCCCTTATATTTCATCTCCTTGGATAAACCACGTAAGAAAAATTACTGAAAATGTTTATGATCTGAAGTCTTGTCTATTCAGGATACCCCTGTAGATATCTTATTCTTTGTGCCGGCAACCCTGTATCTAAAGATCTTTAATTTGTGGGTAACCCTTTATCTGTCTTATTACTTGCGGGTAACCCTTTATCTGTCTTATTACTTGCGGGTAACCCTTTATCTGTCTTATTACTTGCGGGGTAACCCTTTATCTGTCTTATTACTTGCAACCCTTTATCTGTCTTATTACTTGCGGGTAACCCTTTATCTGTCTTATTACTTGCGGGTAACCCTTTATCTGTCTTATTTTTTGTGGATAACCCTTTATCTGTCTTATTATTTGCGGTTAACCCTTTATCTGTCTTATTACTTGCGGGTAACCCTTTATCTGTCTTATTACCTGTGCGTAACCCTTTATCCGTCTTATTATTTGCGGGTAACCCTGTATCCGCATCTTATTCTTTGAGGGTAACTCAGTATTTGTCTTCTTAGTCTAATCTGTCTTATTATTTGTGCCGACAACCCTGTTTCTGAAGTTGTATTCATTGTGGGTAACCCATTAGTTGTTCCATGATCTGCATCTTATTCTTTGTGGTGGCCCTTTATCTGTCTTATTCTTTGTGCCGACAACCCTGTCTCTGAAGTTATATTCTGTATCTGCATCTTATTCTTTGGGGTTAGTTTTATTCTTTGTGGGTAACCATGTTTCTGTCTTATTCTTTGTGGGTAGCCATGTATCTGCATCTTTATCTTTGTGGGTAACCCTGTAGCTGCATCTTAATCCTTGTGGGTAACCATGTATCTGTCTTATTCTTTTTGGGTAACCATGTATCTGCATCTTAATCTTTATGGGTAACCCTGTATCTGTCTTAATCTTCGTGAGTAACCAACCCTTTTCTTTAGTCCTATCTAAAGTATGTGTAAGCCGACATACAAAGCTGTATAATGAAGAGGAGAAAGTTGGACAATAACACTTTCTTAAAAAAAAATTTTTTTTTAAAAAGGCCGAAAAGCTAAAAGATATCTGTAACTGCCAACAAAAAGGAAAAAATAAAATAAGTTTACTTTTCATACAGTGAAACCCTTAATAACGAATACATCGAAAGAATTTATCAAATGTCGTCTTAACAGTTTTTCAATGAGTTTTACACTATATTTCGTAAATTTCAGTATTTGCGAAAATAAATAAATAGCCATGAATATGATGGAACAGTTTTAAAGAGTTCCATATAATCATTCAATTAAAAAACTAAATATCTGCAACATACCATTATCAGAAAGTAAAGAATACGACATTTGATGAATTCTTTCGATGTATTCGTTATTAAGGGTTTCACTGTATTAAAAAAATCATAAATATTAAGCTAGTTTTTTAAAATGTGGCTTCGGAAGTTCAAACACACTTGGTTTAATCCGAAAATTACGAGAATGTGGCTCGGACGAGAAAATGTTGTGTCAGAAAGATTGAATATTTATTAAATATCTAATCATACATATATTGCAAAATTTAGTTTTTCTAAAATTTCAATTTTTTTTGGTCAAAAGTTGAAAGTTACAATTAATTCCATGTAGGGTTTTCAGCGATCGAAACATTACGGAAAAAAATGTGAAAATTTTCGTTCGTATTTTGCAAAATTTTTCGCGAAATTTCGCATTTTTTCACTAAAATGAATGAATCGAAATTTCGCGAAAATATTTTCGCGAACAATTTTTTTTTCGCGAAAAATACAAAATTTTCGTGAAACGATTTTACCTTTTCGCTGGATACTCTAATCCCAAGACAAATGCCGATTTATTGACAATGGACCATGCTGCTGTAAAAAATCATCTTACGTTTTGCAAGGGTGCACAACCCTTATTCTAAACAGTCAAGCCCTCACATTTATGACTCTAGGATTTGCTAAAATTTATGCGGCCATTAAAACTAATACATCAGAAGAATTTATCAAATGTCGTCTTGACAATTTTTCAATGAGTTATATACTATATTACGTAAATTTTAGTATTTGCGAAAATAAAAAAATAGACATGAATATGCGGGAACAGTTTTAAAAAGTTCCATATAATAATTTTAATTAAAAAACTAAATATCTGCAACATTCCATTATCAGAAAGTTAAGAATACGACATTGGATCAATTCTTTCGATGTTTTCGTTATTAAGGGTTTCACTGTAGATAAGACATTTCACAGACAGAGAAGATTTTCTATAGACAGAGGAGATTTTCCATAGAAAGAGAAGATTTTTTATTTACGAAATTTTGTTTTCTTCGATTTTTCATAGACTAGGGAAAATGTAAGTTCAGTGCTCCCCATATACATTGCTACAACGAAACAATTAAAAATGCATTACATATGAAGAGTACTTTATTAATTTTTTTCAGAAATTCAACTTTTCATTTGTGAATAAAAGTTTTTCACTATTAATGCTTTTGTTTAAGTAATGCTCGAGTTAATTGTTAAAAATCCGCAAAACTAAATTGGGAAAACTGCAACTTCTCAGTTGTTTCTCTGACACTGTAGAAGGAAGACATGGCCTACATTTCATAGATTAGACTTTTCATAGACAGAGAAGATTTTTCATAGACAAGGAAAAATATGAAGATGAAAAGAAAAAAGATATCATTTGTTAAGAAAATCTCTTCTGTCTATGGAAAATCTTCTTTGTCTATGAAATGTCCTATTTATGCTATTGTTATCTATGAAATGTCTTTCTATGAAATGTCACAGCGTCAGACTATGTATAACTATAAGACGGAATATCGAAGAGGAATTTAATTGATCCGTTGATTATTCATAAAATGGAAATCAATGCTTGATCCCGAAATCAACTGGAGGAGCATCTTCAGTATAGCTTTATTTTTTGTCATTGTTGTTTAAAAAATAATGATAAAGTGGAACACTCTGTAGTTAAAATTAAAATAATTCTTTATTTAAATTTTATTTTTCAATTTGTACATACATATATAAAAGAATTTATGTAACAAAACTAAACTAACTTAAATTTCTCTCTACAGAACTCATGTAAGGGTAGCCAAAGTAGTTCTAGCAGGTTTTTTTTCGTAAAATGGTATTCCCAACAAGTTATTTAAACTTATCCCACTTCAGGGGCGTATTCAGGAATTTTTCCAGGGGGGGCTTACATTTGTAATTCTTTCATGGGGGGGGGGGGTCAGCACCCGTTGGGGCCTAAAAACCCCCTGAAATAAATAAATTTCACTAGTCCAGGGGGACTTAGCACCCATAGCCCCCTCCCCCCGAATACACCTCTTTCCCATTCTTAGACCTTTCCATAAACGGTTAACAATATTTTAACCTTATTGTAGGAGCGGAGATGAATCTCTGATCAATACTGAGCTGGTCCTACCTACCAGAAACTGGATATCTCCAGATTCGTTGATCTAACCAGCTCGACCCTGCTAAACTCCTGAACCTGTATCCTAGCAAGGGATGCCTCAGGATCGACTCCGACGCCGATATAGTGATTTGGGATCCTATGCGTAGTTCCACTCTCTCTCCTTGCAGCCTTTAATGTCGGGAAATAAATTGATGTTTTCGGTGTTCGTCTTGCTCGGCGGAACTGTAATCGTTGCCGATTTACAGCTCCGTGGTATCAACTGCTTCGGTTCTCCACAGCTCCGCCCCCTGCACATCCTGCGACAGAGCGTGAATCCACAAGATCAGCGGTTCAAAGATCTGACCGGCCGGGATGCCCTATCCAGG